CTGCATCATTTTCATCTTGAGAATACAGAAGTAGTGGGACCAAGCTGTCCAGGACTTGATTCTCTATACCCTTCTTATCTGTGTATTTCACAGACTTTATGGAGGCTCCAAAGAGGGTCATGGAGAAACGATGAACATCAGGTCTCACCTATAAAGTATCCAAAGGGAAGCAACTCATCGAAAGTGTTCATGCTTAACTTGCAAGGACTAGGTCAGTTGAAAACCCAGTCCTAACATGAGGCTATTTAGCTGTAGGTCGCTGAGGGCAAGAAGCCAAATATAGGTAAAGTTAGCAAGACCTGATGCTTTGTACTACTGATTGTTCTCTCACTCTGCATATGAGAAATGTAGTCAGCACAGTTTGTGCCTGATACTAGTATTAACTACTCACACAATGTTTTGCTGAAATTCAAAAACCCAACCTTGGCATATTTGACTCTTCCAAGGACATGGTTCATTGTGCTCCATGCATTTCTTTTTTCAAAAATCTTTTGGGATTTGGGATGGGGACATATGTATAGTCCACCACCTTGACCCATCCTGATTGTTCCTTGAAAGACATCTTTTCTTATACAAACTCCTTCCCCACCCCATGATCAGGGTAAGTCTCTACATCTCTGTAGAGACTCTCCTTGGCAAGTCTCTACATCTGTTTTTCGTTTTTGTTTTTGTTTTTTAATCTGAGAAAACAGTAACACCAGTCCTGCTAACATCACAGGTTACCTGGAAGGATCCCAATTTCTATTTGCTGTTATGCCAATTACCCTCCTCTAGGAAAGTCTCTCCTCTCTCATTGTCTTACATCACCAAATAGGGAGAACAGGGTCTTCATCATGGCAGTCAGGGTAGTGAAATCCATTGTCTCGACGAGTTGCAGGAGTATCTGGATGGCCAACAAAACAATCTTCTCGTCGGTTTCACATAAGAGGTCTAAGATGCATGGCAACAGGCTCTTGATGCCTTCCCTCTGTGTGCCCAAAGGGAGTGCACCATCACCTCTCCTGATAGCACTTCATCTGTTACCAAAGTAGGGCTCCCCAGCTTAACTCAGTACCTGGTGCTTGTTGAATTTTTGGTAGGGCTGGCTAATTAAGAATAGAGAAGTAAAGAGGGCATGATTGCCCTCTCAGTATTGGCAGGGCTGATAGAGAATGGAGCAGAGCTGTTGTAAGTTGCCTCATAGGGAAAAAATGGAACCAAGAGGGAGATGGTCCAATAACAGAGACTTAGGATTAATGTAAGGAATTGCTTATAGAGAGAGAAAATGGAATGGCTAGCTCAACTCATAGTGAGTTCTCCAACATGGAATGTATCCAGAGCAGAAAGATTCCTTGCCGGAATTCAAGCAGAAATTGACTGAGGACCTTTAAGCATCCTTCCCATTCTGAATTGGGATTCTGTTCTTCTGAAACTCCCAAAATGAAGCAATCTCAGAGTTTCAAAGTGTAAGACATACATGTAAAAAGTATTAACAATTAACATGCTAATATCTGTCATTCTTGTGTCAGACATACACACATATTTAAATATTTAAAAGAAATGGAACTCAAATGACAAAGTCGAAGGCCCGGAATTAATTTTCCTTTCTGACCCAGGCCTAGTTTCTAGCTAGCCCTGCAGAAAATGAGCTCTCTTTCAACATGAATGTCAGTGATCTTTATTTAGATGATACACATCTTGGGATAGATACCATGGCATATCCAATTTATTCCTTAGAGCAACATGGTTCAAGACATAAAAGGACACCTGAATGTCACCCAGGCTGTGATGATAGTGAGGGTACCTCCTTACACAAATTGTAGGTTTCAAATTTTATGAATATATGTGACTTGGACTTTTTATTTAGTTCTTATAATTTCATGAAATACTTTATAGTCAGTACTTACATATTTCCTAGGCATAAGATTTAAATGGTTCAAAGGGATGCATTCCCACTCGATCCTATTCCCAGCTACCCAATTTCCTTCTCAGCTGTTACCAGTTTCTTGGGTGTCTTTCTAGGGTATGCTTGATTTGTGACTTATAAATCAGTACTCTCAGGGCCCCTCCTACCATCTCCTGGTGTCTGGTAAGATAGTGCAGTCCCTTTAGGGCAAGAGTTTTGAAGACATTATTTCCATGATGTAGCCAGTCTTTCAAGCGGGCAATAGAGTATATGCTGGGCAGTCTCCTAGCCACTGGACTCTGGAGAAGCTGAAAGAATCCAGAAATAAGCCAAAGGATTTACCTTTTTTAAAAAAAAAATTTAATGTTTATTTATTTTTGAGAGAGAAAGACAGAGTGTGAGCAGAGGAGGGGCAGAGAGAGAGGGAGACACAGAATCTTACACAGACTCCAGGCTCTGAGCTGTCAGCACAGAGCCTGACGTGGGGTTTGAACTCACAAACTGTGAGATCATTACCTGAGCCAAAGTTGGACGCTTAACAGACAGATCCATCCAGGCACCCCTGTAGAAGTTACCTTTAAGCCCTTTTTCAGGAGGGGAACCACCTTCCCACCAACTCCAAAATACACATTTTCCTTTGAAACCTGTACTATATTACAGGGTGATGCTTACACTGTAGGTACATAAGACAAGAAGTATTTCAGTAGGCTTGAACCTGAAACTATTTCTGTCCCATGTCTGTTATGGATCCCAGCCTGCCATGAAGTTGGATGGGGCCCAGGAAGGCAGGCAGTGCTGCTTTACAGGCTTCCTGAATTCAGCTTCTAACGAATCTTACCTCCACGAAAAATCCTGCAGATGTGAGTTTATGTTTATCATTCCCTCGGTTAAGAAGAGGGACCAACAAGTACATGATCTTATTTGCAAAGAGGTGATTTCTTTCCAGCAATGCACTGCAAAACAGAACACCCAATAGGACACCTCTTAGAAATGCTCCTATTCTTGGGGTGCCTGGCTGGCTCAGTCAGTGGAGAGTATGACTCTTGATCTTAAGTTTTAAGTTTGAGCCCCATGGAGGGCGTAGAGATTACTCAAAATTAAAATCCAAAAAAACGGGGGGGGGGGTGGTGGAAATAAATGCTCCTATCCAGATTGCATTATTCCCAGGGCTAGGGGTCCTCTGAGGATTTTGCCCAGCTTCAGGTGCACAGGAGGGTATAGTACTGTCAGGACCTCTAAAATATTTGCCTGGCATAGTGGGTATTTCCCTAACCTGTGATGTTATCCAACTTAGGTTGCTGTTTTAACTAAAAGGGAGAAAAGTACCTAAATCAATGCTGATTTAGAGCAGGTGTACATGGCAAGGAAGCCTTACTTGGCAAGGAGAGATATTCCCTGAAGATGGCCATCTTTTCCTTCCAAGAGGGTCCATCCTTTATTCTTTTCCATGATGTTGAATTCCTGCCAGCACAATGTTCTGAGAAGGAGAGTCTTTGTAGCCTGTATGGCGAAGCTAAATCAAACAAAACCAGTACACGTGAATAGAACAGGTCCCTCCAACTTATCAGCACATGATCACCCTGCTCTCACTGAGGAGGGTCATGCACTGATAGCTGCTGGACAGTAATTCTCTTCTTTCCAGATTTCCCCAAAGACTCTTAATGCTCTAACAACTTGAAAAGCCCTTCACACAAATTTTTAGCATAAAGAAATCTAACTAAATTTTGTATCCCTGGGAGTTTGAAAAGAAATCTATGATAAAACAAATGATATGGGATGCTAAACCCATACCCACTGCTTTTCTCCAAAGCTTTATTTAGGGGTGCCTGGGTGGCTCAGTCAGTTAAGCATCCGACTCTTGGTTTCAGCTCAGGTCACGATTCTCTCTCTCTCTGTCTGTCTCTCTCTGCCCCTCCCCCAATTGCTCTCTCTGTCTGTCTCTCTCTCTCTCTAAAAAATAAACTTAAAAAAATTAAAGCTTTATTTAGATACAATTTACCCCCTCCATAAATTTACCCACACTGCTTTTTATTTTTATTTTTATATTTTTGGAGAGAGAGAGAGAGAGAGAGCACACCAGTGGGGAAGAGGGGCAGAGGGAGAAAGAGAATCCCAAGCAGGCTCCATGCTCAGCATGAGCCCAACACAGGGGCTCGATCCCATGACATTGGGATCATGACCTGAGGTGAAATCAAGAGTTGGATGCTCAACCAACTGAGCCACCTCCAGTGCCCTTACCCACACTGCTTTTTAAACTACCCCCATTACTGGGATGCCTGGCTGGCTCCATCAGTAGAGCATGCAACTCTTGATCTCCAGGTTGTAAGTTTGAGCCTCACTTTGGGTGGAGAGATTACTTTAAAAAATAAACTACCCTTACTACTTACTGAACTTGTATGCTGGACATAACACCAGAGAATCCTAAAACTAGAGGGTCTTTGGAGAGTATTGAGCCTGACCTAATTTACAGATGGGGAAACCAAGGCACAGAACAACAGAAAGATTTGCCCAGGGTACATAGCTAATTAAATGAATGAGAATTAGAACTCAGTTCTCCTGACTTTTAGTCAGGTGTTCTTTTTTGTTTAAATTTTTTTTTTCAACGTTTATTTATTTTTGGGACAGAGAGAGACAGAGCATGAACGGGGGAGGGGCAGAGAGAGAGGGAGACACAGAATCGGAAGCAGGCTCCAGGCTCTGAGCCATCAGCCCAGAGCCCGACGCGGGGCTCGAACTCACAGACTGCGAGATCGTGACCTGGCTGAAGTCGGACGCTTAACCAACTGCGCCACCCAGGCGGCCCCATAGTCAGGTGTTCTTAATAATCCACATTATAGCACTTCGTCTGAAAGAAAGTCATGGGCCACAGTGACATTAATGAATTTATACTGAGTTTACCTTGGCACCAAGAAAACCAGACAACCAACCAGTGAGAGCCCAGAATAATTCCTGGGCATTTCATCTTGATGTCTCATGATAGTGGACTGTAAACTCTCCCACGATTGGGACCACATCTTGGCTATCCTTGTGTCTACCACAGTGCTGAGAGCTTAGTGTTAGTTAAGGTCAATGATATCACAAAAGGCAGTACCACAAAGGGGTGACCTGTGAAGACATCTCCTGTTCTGTGTACAGACCGCTTGGGATGGCGACATCAGACATGGTAAGGCCAATGCTGTGGTGTATCTGGATAAGCAGTGTCATGAGAAGCTGAGGGAAGAGTCGGAATGTAGCTGCTCGGAGCCTGTTTCCCACAAACACCTCATAAAGGGCGTCTGTTGCCTGTGGTAGAAAAGACACACCAGAGGGCTGAACACCTGTTAGCACTATCCCTTACTTGCTTTATCTGTGCTTGTGCCAGAACATGCTTTCTGGCTTTACTATCCCACAGGCAGAACAGTAGTGGTAAACGGTGCAGGGACATGAAAGTGAGGGGGGAAAGGAATAGGAGTACAATAGTTACTAAAAGTTACCCAAGAATGAGGGGAGTCTAAAATCCAGAACCATAAAGGAAACTATTAACATATTTGACCACATACAAATATAAAGCCATGGCAAAATTTGTAGTAAACATAGTTAGATTACAAATAACCTAGAGAAATCATTTGCACTGATGTGATGTTTTTAATATATAAAGTCCTTTTTTGTATCAGTAAGAAAAAAAAGGTAAAGGCTTGCTACTCAAAGTATGGGCCACACACCAGCAGCACTGGCATCGCCTGGGACCCGGTTAGAAATGGAGAAGCTCAAGCCCCACCCCAGACCTGCTGCATCAGAACCTACATTTCAGTAAGATCCCTAGCTGATTGTGGTTTGTGTGCATATTTTTATTTTAAAAAAAAATTTTAATGTTTATTTATTTTTGAGAGAGAGACAGAGCATGAGTGGGGGAGGGGCAGAGAGAGAGAGAAGACATAGAATCTGAAACAGGCTCCAGGCTCTGAGCTGTCAGCACAGAGCCCAACGTGAGGCTCGAACTTGGGACCGGCAAGATCATGACCTGCAAAGTCAGATGCTTAACCAACTGAGCCACCCAGGTGCCCTGGTTTGCATGCATATTAAATATGAGAAGCACTGGTACATAGAACATGAGCAGACAAGTCACAAAATATAAATGGCTACTTCACTCTCACCAATAACAAGATTGTAATTAAAATAATACTCCTTTTTTTTACCTATCAGCTAGGCAACAATAAAAAGGCTAGGAATGCTCAGTGTGGTAAGGGTGTGGGTAAATGGGCATTCTCACATATGACTGGTAGAAGGGCAATGTTTTAGAGGACCATCTGGGAATTCTCAAAAGTTTAAATCAGCCCACCCCTTGACCTAGAAATTCCCCTACAATGGCCTTTATCCTAAGAAAATAATTGGATATGTATAACAGACTTCATGTGTGTGTGATTAAATTTATTATAGCACTGTTTTAATGGCAAAAGTTTAAAAATTGTCAAAATGTTCACTAATAGGAAACTTGGAAATGAAATAAATGGTTCTGTGCCATATTAAGTGTTATCTATTTTTAAAAAGGTAATAAAAATGAATGAATTACTATGCAGCCATGAAAAGAATAACAGAGAGGCTTATGTTTTGACATGGAAAGTAGTTCATATACTGTTTAAAAAAGCAGATCATCAAACAGTACATGTAATTTGATCCTATTAATATATACATACAATTTTATAGACTAACATGATTAAAAATGTACCTTTGTCTGCCCTAACTCCTAAGACTACACTAAGTTAACATTATAGGGGTTTTAAAAAGGTATAAATCCACAAAAACAAAGAGAATAGGAGAGAAGACTATGGCAGATTAAAGACGTCAGAATAATTTTGGAAGCTAAAAAATACATGTATGATAATAACTTAGGTCAGAGAGAGCTGAACCGTAAGCTGGTAGGAAAGAAAAGAAAGTAAAAAGTATATAGTGATAGTGGGGAAGGTTGTGTGTGTAGGAGTCAGAGAGTATATAGAAACTTTGTACTTTCTACTCAATTTTGTTGTAAACCTAAAACTTCTCTTTAAAAAGTATTAAAAGAAAAAGTGGGGGAAAGTATACCAAATACAAAAAAAATTATATATGTATAAATAATTCTAGAAAGTTCATTTTTAGGGAGATGATACAGCTAGGCTAAGAATGGTCTTTAGGTTTTAAAAGATTTAAAAAAAAATCCAAAGAATATATGATAGAGATTATATGTGACCTGAAAACCTAAAATATTTACCTTCTGGTCCTTTACAGAAAAAGTTTGCCGACTTCTGCTCAAGGAGGACCTTTTCTGTTATTTATACTCTTCGGTATTATTTGACATTTTTTTTCACAAGTGTATATTACTCTTTTACTATGATGATACATATTTTTTAAAGGATAAAGGAACATTTAACCATACTGATTAAACTAAACTTCATTATACCATATTGATTCCTTCATTCTTCCAAGCCCCCTCCATATTAATCCCTTGGCAGAGACATTGTAGATTTATAAATGGATGACAGATGCAAACTTTTGAGAGTGATGAGAAGGGATACTACAGATGGGGTGTTGGGCCAGTCATCCCAAGAGGGGGGAGCGTATGGTGTTGAAGTTGGAAGGGCAAAGTTCAGTGGCTTACAGCAACAGCCATATAGGCCATCTTCTCGTGGGTGGGTGCATTATGGCATTTCTGCAACTTCCTCAGGAGTCTCCACAGAATCCAGGTGGTGCTGGGCAGTTTTACATCCAGAGTTCTCCACAATTCAGCCAGATGCCTGGAAATCCCAAAGAACAAGAGGGTTCAGGAGAATGGCTTATCCTAGGCCCACCATGACCATGACCTTCCTAAAATCTGGAATCCAATCTGCAAGTGATTTTCCTCTCTGCTCAGGTTTTCAGGCTATCAAAAGACTTACTCTCTGATTTCATAACAGTAAGTCCCAAGGTTTTATAATCTCAAATTCCCATGCCTCAGCATGGACTTCAAGACAAACTGGTCCTAATGATCTTTTCAGATCCCTGTCACATGTCTGCGCTCTAGCTACCCCAGACCATTCATCTTTACCAAACAATGGACTTTGACAACTCTACACGTCTGCTTATTGCCTGTCCTTAAACTGGAAGGCCCTTTCCCAAACGCTTCCCTGCCTGACAAAATCCTTCAAGGTCCAGCTCCAATGTCATCTCCTCTGTGAAACTTTTGCTGCTTCTTTACCATGTCTCTCATGAGAGTTCTCATAACACTTTCACAATTTCTTCTGTATAGAGGTTGCCTCGATCTTACACATACTATTTTCAGTTCTTTGTATGTGTCCATCTGTTCCCTCTGAAGGCAGGGATTATATTTGGCTTTTCTTCTATGAACCCCTCAGGGTCTAGCACAATGCCAGGCTTACAGAAGGAATTCAAAGATATATTTATTCAATCCAGTCTATGGTCCTCAAGTTTTGGACAAGTCCAAGCTGAGAAATAAAGCTTTGATTCTCCTTACAAGAAGTCTCTTCTTTTATTTACTTATTTTAAAATTTTTACTACTGGACTTTTTATTTTTATTTTTTTTAAGTTTATTTATTTCTTTTGAGAAAGAGAGAGAGAGAGAGAGCAGAAGGGACAAAGAAAGAGGGAGAGAATCCCAAGGAGGTTCCACACTGTCAGCTCAGAGCCTGAAGTGGGGCTCAAACTCACGAAATGCGAGATCATGACCTGAACCCAAACCAAGAGTCAGATACTTAAGCCACCCAGGTGCCCCCAGACTTTTTTTTAAGTTTACTTATTTATTTTGAGGGAGGAGGAGGGACAGAGAGAGAGAGAATCCAAGCAGGCTCCAAGCTATTAGCACAGAGCCTGACTCAGGCTTGAACTCACAAACTATGAGATCATGACCTTAGCTGAAACCAGGAGTCAGATGCTCAAATGACTGAGCCACCCAGGTGCCCCAGAAGAGATCTCCTCTTCTTTTTTTCTTTTTTTTTTAAATGTTTATTTATTTTTGACAGACACAGACACACACACACACACACACACACACACACACACACACACACACACAGCATGAGCGGGGGAGGGGCAGAGAGAGAGACACAGAATTCGAAGCAGGCTCCAGGCTCTGAGCTGTCAGTACAGAACCTGACACAGGGTTCGAACTCACAGACCGTGAGATTATGACCTGAGCCGAAGTCGGACGCTCAACCAACTGAGCCACCGAGGTGCCCCTCTTTTTTTGTTTTTTGTTTTAATTTTATTTATTCATTTCGAGAGAGACAGAGAGAGCAAGTGGGGGAGGGGCAGAGAGAGAGAGAGAGAGAGAGAGAGAGAGAACCCCAAACAGGCTCAGCACTGCCATCACAGCCCGATGCAGGGCTTGAACTCACGAAACGTGAGACCGTGACCTGAGCCGAAACCAAGTGTCGGATGCTTAACCGATTGGGCCACCCAGGCGCCCCAGGTCTCTTCTCGAAGAAAGATAGTGTGTAGGAACTTTTCTTCTTCTATAATTGACTCAAAGGTAGGGCCTGACATTTATATAAACACTGTAGAAGAGCATTATCAGGGGAACATTGGGAGTTACTCCTGGTTTTAACTCATTCTCTTATTTCCGGAATCTACTTAGGTATCTTTGTGTGCTACAGCAAGTATGGTCTTCCAACTGTCTATATCAGAATCACTCTAAAAATTGAGAGGCTTAAAGACTATTCCAACATTTCACTCCCTGATAATTTCACTCCTCTGATAATTCTCATCCACAAATAAAACAAATTGAGAAGGTCCTGAAGGACTCCTAAAGGGAAGGCCATAAAGGCAATATGAAATACTGAAAAGGCTCCTAGCTGGGGCAACAGATTGTAGAAAATGAACATTCCTTCTTGGGATGAAATTAAGAAATTCCTATATTTACCTATCTTTTTTTTTTCCTTCTTTGAATTCCCTAGGAAGTAAATGAAATAATTTGAGAAGCTATTTATTGTGAAAGAAGTGTTTCAAAAATGCTTTTGGTCTGTACATTTGTAAGTGCTGGGAATGCATCTGAATTAGGAAAACACATACATTAGCCTATAAGCCAATGGTTCACAAATTTTAGTGTGAAAAATACATCTGGAGAATTTGTTAAAAATACGGTTTCCCTCCAGTGATACTGATTCAGTGGTTTTTGTTTGCATCATCCCTTTGGGGGTATGCATTCATCAAGCTGTTTCATACCTTCCTTGTGTTTAGTTTTGCTATTCCTCCTGTCCAGAATGCCTTTTCCACTGCCCTGTCCCACCTTCTACTTGGCTAATTTACACTAAACACTTAGCTTGTGGCTGCCCTTCTTTTAAAACTCCCTCCCCAATCCTTCATCTAATTAAATCACCTCCTACAGGAGCTTCCACAGAACTCTTTTATTTTGCTTTGGAGTCCTCTGTTATTCGTCTAGGTCTGCTATCAGACTGTGTGCTGCTCCAGGACAGGGCTTGTGTCCTATCCCTTATTTCTACAGGCCCAACAGCACCTTGGACATAGTAGTTGCTTTGCACAGACTCCTAAGAACAATCCACCAGTTAAACCAACTCTTGTTCCAAGAGCTAGAACAATAAAATTATGCTAAAATTATACTTTAAAATGATTAAGTATATTTAATATTTTGTATGAAATCATAAGTTTCATATAAGAATCTATATTTAATATTTTGTATGAAATCATAAGTTTCATATAAGCTGAAGCAAGCAGTAAAGGTTTAAAAATAATGGATTACAGAAATATACAAAATAATATTTTTTAAAAAAATTGTATGAACTCTTTTTTTTTTTTTTGCATGGGTAAACACCTTCCTTTATTCG